TTTGAATTTAAGACAGTGCCCCAATAAATACATTCTACAATTGGAAAATTATACATTTGTTATAATTTTCATTTGATAGAATCTAATTACCAAAGAGTCATCTTAAACTTGTCCCACAGGGAGAGAGCCAGTCAGCAGCCTGACCCCACACTGTGCTCCCCTGCCACTTGTCCCCCATGCCTGTGCCCCTGCCACCTGTTTCCCCATCTGCCCATCCCCTACCCAATCCCTGGCCTGTGCTGCCACCCACACCTTGACTCATGCCACCCAATCCCCCTCCTGATCCCCACATGTTTTATTTCCTGCTTCCCATGCACACTGTTGCCCCATTCCCTCCCAGTCTCCTTGCATGCTCCTATCCCATCCTCATATATGGTGCTGCCCCATCCCCACATGCACTGTTGCCCCATTCCCTGCCTGATTCCCAGCCTACACTGCTGCCCTATCTTCCATCCAATTTCCATGCATGCTGCTGCCCCATCCCCCACCCAATCCCTGATCATAGCCATAGCCTCTGATCTGAACTCACTGCAGCTGCTGCTGACCCCTTTGCTGCTGACTCCAGGCAGGAACAGCAGCAGCTCTGACCCTGATCGAAGGCAGGCAGATATTCTGGCTCTGGCCAGGATCAGGGCTGGAACTGGACTGCTGGTACTTGAATCCAAGATAAGGCTTGTTTCTCCCTAGGTTGAATGTGGAGGAGAGGGAACCTTACCTTGGATTCAAATAAATATGGTAGTTTTTTCTGACTCAGTCTGCCTCTTGTTCTAGAACCAAGCATAGAAAGCTTTTTCAGTCAATGGTTGCTCCTCAACTGGCCTGCTGCCAATCCAATAACATCTGTTTTTAAAGAGAGTCCTTTGTGCACATTATATTACAAAATAATTAATAGATAATATTTTGTGAGCCAAAGAAAAAAAGGAAAGCTTTAAAAAGTCAGATTTAAACTGGGGAGGTGGCTCAAGAAAATGTTGAGGACAGATTTCTAGAGAGATGGACACCACGTATTTAAGAAACAGCTTCCTCTCCAACTTCATAGTTGGAAGAAAAGAGAAAGAAAGGAAAACAAAGCAGGTAACAATAAAGTTAGAAACTGACAGTGGAGGTCAGATTGAGTTTGTGCACATTTGTGGAAATAGTGAAGGTGAGTAGATGGATTAACAGAGAGAACCTCTAAAAAGATTGAAAAGTGCAAAAATATAATTTGGAATTTGTTGCAGTCAAGAAAAGTGGGTTTTTTAAAATATATTGCTAAGAAGTTAGGTATCGGTGAAGAGTTCTTACACAATCAAACCTAGCACTTAAAATAAGTTTATTAAAAAGAATGCACAAAATAAAAAAAAAATATTACAAGCAGCTAGTAAGTGAGTATCAGTTCATTTAAACCAATAACAAAAACATTGCAGCTATGCTTTTGGACACCTAGCACTGTCATATAGGCAGAAGCTGTTTACAAACTCCTCTGACATAGCCAGAATACCAGTGGAATCCAAAACCCACCAGACTCTGCACCCAACTTTTAAATTTCACTTGAACTTTAATTACATTTAGGAAGCCTTTGGGGGTAGAATAGACTATTTGAGATTCCAAAAATCCATAATTCTAGAATTTGTTTCTGAGTTTTAAAACTGATTCTGCAGATCTGATGACTTCCAGGGCTGTAGGAATTTTTTTTAGACAAAACAAGTGTTGGCAATTGTTTTACTGGAAAGAGAGTTTAGTAAAAAATAAAACGTATAGTTTTCAAAGTTCTTTTCTCAGGGGAAAAAATTCTTCCCTGTAACCACCCATAAAAAATGTGTAGATAAGAAGTAGCTATTGGAGAAGGGGGCTTCTATTAGAGATTAAATAGCATGCTTAATTTTAGTAATTCCATAGTATAGCAGCATGAAAAGGATTATGAAACTAGAAGTTAGCAATATGAAAAGGCAATACATGTAAGAATATAGGGCATTAGTCAGAATACTCTTTAAGATTTGCAGAATGTTACCTTTAATCCCGGTTACAGTGGTTTCCCTTTGTCTCTTTTTAAAAGCACCTACCTAAGTTTGGGTAGGTTGATTCCGCTTCTTCAGTTGCAGTGGGAATGTTTTAGTCTCCATTCTTCAGATTCTTTGCTAGGGAAGGATGGTGAAATGTGCAGTCTTGAGAAAAAGATAATTTGTGTTCTTGGAGTTAATAGGATTATAGCTTTTAATGTTCAAAAGAGCCTGTTTTGTTAATTATTGGAAGAAATTGGGTCTTTCATGTGCAGGTATTCTTTGCTCAGTCAAATCCTGTGACATCATCCAAGAAGGCTTGGTTTGTTTCTAAACCGAGCCACTTTATTGGCTAATCAAATTGTTCAAGGACAACCTTTTTGCTTTTAATTGGTCTCACATGGTACTGGCAACATTGACTCTGCTGCTTATACTTTAAAGCTGACTGTCTTATGACTTAACCCAGCACTAGAGTGGCTGTTCAAACAAAATCTTACCTGATGGAATTAACACTAGAACCATGTCCTGTCTTCTGTTCAATGTCCAGATACCATAAAGCCAGCATTTTCTAACAGGGTTAAGGTTCAGTTTGTTCCACTCCTCGATGCCCCTCTATCTTCATTTGGAAATTGACAGTACTCATTTGACCTTAGTTTGCTCCCAGAATGCTTTGGGTTTTTGTCTGTAACTGCTTGATCTAAATATTTGCCCAGAATTTATAGATGAAACATTGATTGGTTTAAAAGAAATCTTTTTTTCTTACCTGGTGATAGAAATGAGTGGAGATTGTGGGTACATGAAGTCAAAGTAGTAGGATGGAGAGCAGTGGAAAGGGTGGTGTGAGGCCACAATGATGGTGTAAACATCAGAGGAGCAAGAGAGCAGAGAAAAAGGGGATACAAGGTTAGCTAAATTGTAGATGTGTGCCAATACATCAGCCTGATATTGGATCGGCACTGATATAAAGAAAATTGGCTGTATTGGAAATCAGCCTGATGAGACCCATAATGTGACTGATAAATGGCCCGTGCATGCGCACAGCCACAGCACAGCATGTAGGCTGTGAGGAGCATGGCCTGGCAGCTTGGAGAGCTACGTGCACCTGGTAAATCTGTTGTGGGGGGGGGGTGGCATGGGGGGCAGATCACGGACCCTGTGGTGGGGGAAGGATTGGGGCTGAGGCAAGCACTGCCCAGCTGGGATGGGACAGGGCAGGGTGCAGGATGGGGGGAGGATGGGCAGCTCCCACTGTTGCACACACCGGGGGGCACACGCGTGAAGAGAGGGTGCCCCCAGATCTGCATGAGGCAGGGCGGGATGCTGCTGGGGTCGGGGCCAGGGCTGCACCAGGCTCTTCCTGGTAGGGGCTGGGCCAGGCTGCACTCAGAGTGGATGGCAGCAGCACTGGGAGGGAGGGTTGGGGGGCTAGGGTGAATTTTGGGGTGGCTGCAGCTTCCCTCCCACCATAGCTCCCTCCAGTGCTTCTGCAGCCTGCCCTAAGCACAGCTTGGCCCAGCCCCCACCAGGAAGAGCCCAGCGCAGCCCCAGCCCACA